ATTTGACTTGCTTGCTTTACATTTTGGTTCCTCGTTTGGGCTTTCTTTGATCCTCTACCCGGATTTGAGATACCTTATAGGTAATTAGCAATACATTGTGGAAACTGTGTGGGGTATACTGACATGTTCTAAGAAATAGCTATGTTAGTGTGACACATTTGTGGGTATCTGTATCCCTTGAGTAGTCAATGAGAATACGGGGTTGCTGTGTGGTGTCATGAAGCACTAACTGACTTTAGAACCTTTACTTGACCAACTTGGCCATTAGGAAGTAGTGAGATAATCGACATTGGTACAATCCGAATTTGGTTGATACTCGATACTACACTCATTGAGATCGGACTTCTCGGGATATTTCGGTCGCCATGAAAGAGGCTTACGCTGAAACAATGCTCGACGAGAAAGATCAGTGATATTGAGATCCCTTAGAACTCGGTTACTATTTCTAGGACAGGTTTTAGCCAACTAAACTTCAAGAGGGTACTTACCTATGAGACTCCATGCAAGCCTAAACCTAAGGAATTTTTTTCCTTGTTTGTATATACTTACTTGTACATGACATCATAAACATCATAACATCATACTCATTCTCACTAACCATCTATGGCTTCCATCCGCAGGAATACTATCCAAGTCAATCTTGTAAGAGTTCCTTCTCAACTCAAAGAGTTAGCATCAAGGGTCCCTGATAATTTTTCATTCACCGAAAGACATGGTCGCCTCCTAAACTTGGTTACCTCAAGCACTGATAAATATATAATGAAGGTGTTTTTCCACTCCTTCGATCCTCTACGCCATTGCTTCACTTTTCCTGATTATCAGCTTGTACCTACTATGGAAGAATTCTCTCAACTCTTGAGGATTCCCATTCTCAATAAACTACCCTTCAACGGTACGAAAAAAGAACCAAGACCTGAAGATATTGCATGAGCACTACACTTGCAAAAATATGATGTCACGACTAATTGGGAAACAAGGAGTGGTGTCAAAGGGTTCTTAGCCAAGTTCTTGTTTGAGAAAGCTCAAGATTGTTGGAAATCTTTTGATCTACAAGCTTTTGAAGAAATCTTGGTCCTTATCATATATGGGATGTGTTGTACCCCAAAATTTGCCCTCTCACTTATCAATAATTTACTCACAAGATCTCCTTGGGCTCAAGACTGCACTAGGGTTTGATCAGCTCAAGACACCTCCTTAGGCACTGATGACCAAAATTAAGGTTTGAGTTTGCACAAGGATTTTTGAACTTCCAATTCCCCATATGACTTTCATGGATCATTATGGACCCCCAATATTACTCATGACAAGTTTCAAGCCTTGGATCACACTTTTGATCAGTCAATTGAACAGTTGACCAAAAAATCAGTTGTATTGGGGGAAAAGTCAACCATGACCAACTTACAGTCAAACTTCATAATTTTTTATCCAATTAAACATTTTAGACTCACATGTATCATTTGATCAAGTTTGAATCACAATTCCTCAAGAAATTTGATCAAATCTCCAAAAGGGCAAAATGATCAAAATTAGGGTTTTGACTGGGAAAGGGCAATTTCTGATTTTTGGCCTAGCAAATGGTCAATTGGTTTAAGGAATGATATCAAGAGTCCAATTGTACCATTTTTACCTAATTACATGATTCAAAACATTGCAAATCCATTGGATTGATAGATGAATTTTGCAGTCAACTGATCAAAAGTCAACTGTATACTGAAAAGTCAAACTTTAACTTTTTGGTCAAATTCAAGTGCCAAAGATCATAATTCATAAAAACATGTAAAAATATGAAAATTATTCATCAAGAAATCAAAAATTCAAGATTTCATTTTGAAAACTCAAAATTTCTAAACTTAGACATTTTTCTAAGTGTTGGAAGTTTCGTTTTTTCATAACTTTGAGCCAAATTTTCACCATGATGCAAGATGATTCAAGAGAAACTTCCAACATGAAAGTTGTAGATCTCCATGAAATATACAACTTTTCTTCACACAACTTCTCCTAAAAATTCTTGTATCTCAAGTTATAATTTTATGAATATATGCTCATGAACTAAAAAAGACTTAGTGAAATTTTGCCCTAGTTAGGCAGATTTTTGACCTAACTTCATGGAAATTTTTTACATAGTTCCAAGGAGAATCTTCAAAAGCAATTCAAAAATTAGTTTTAGAGCACATTGCAATATTTCAAAAATGTCCAAGAACTCTTTGATATCATTCTTGAGTAGGGAGAATCGAAGAGATGAAGTTGGTGTTTTGTCACTTGAATTATAGGTCATTTTCATGATGAACACAAATGCAATTTCA